AAACTGTAATTGATTATGATCTTCATCCTAATGATCAAACATATATCTATAATCCCATACTGTAAACATGTTATATAAACTAAATGCGAAAGCGTACCTGAATTAGCCATAATGATGATATTCTTTGTAGAGCACTTTAGATTTGATCTTATGGTCTTCCACTTGAAGAGCACCCGTATTTCTCTATGGATTTTCTTTCTTAATGGGGATAGAAAGAAAAGAACAGGACTGTATCTGTATTCTGTCTGTGTGCCCTCAGAAGGGGACCATGACCCTTTATATAACCAAAATTAGGTTAATTACTTAAGTTTTAGTATTTTCAATTTGGCCCCTCATCAAATTAAAAATTACTCTATGGTCTCTACACAATTATATTTTCATGACATATGCCTTTAGCCAAAACTTTAATTTATTCAGATCACTTTATTATTTGGCTTAATAAATAATGACCCTAACACATTTAAATATGTATCATATATTTACGTGACCCAAATTTTGCTAACAATCTCCCACTGGTCACATATATATATATATATGTCCTTACAACCTTACAAATGTGTTAGACTTTATGAGCTCAAAAATGTCATTATATTCCTCTAGCATATTCAAAAGTCCTCGTCCATTAATCATATCGGGATATAGAACTGCATCAGCTTTTCATTGCATCATCGCAACTAAAACCAACAAGATTACTCATCCCGACATAACCAAATGACATGGATTCATCATGAAATGTGTAGCATGAAAAATTACGTGAAGGTGATCTCGTACACGTCTATTTTCAACTCGGTCCAAACTTTAACTTATCGAGATCGATACAATAACCTTAATGTACAAAGTGTAATGAATGAACAAGAAAACCGCATATCTATAGATAATCAAATATGTCCAAAAAAAACAATGTATACATATATAAAACATAGAACATAAAATATATGAAAATGACTAACTCCCACTAAACCACAAATTCCTCAAACTGTAAAACACCCATGTGAGCAACATGCTCATGAAAGACCTTGGGCGGAAGTCCTTTAGTTAGAGGATCTGCTATCATGGAGTTTGTTCCTAAATGTTCTATGGAAATCTGTCCACTCTGTACTCTTTCCTTAACGACTAGGAACTTAATGTCGATGTGTTTCGACTTAGTCGAACTTCTGTTGTTGTTGGAATACAATACAGCTGATTTGTTGTCACAATATAACTTAAGTGGTCTTTCAATGCCTTTCACAATTTGCAGCCCTGTGACAAAATTTCTCAACCATATTCCATGATTCGACGCCTCATAGCATGCTACAAATTCTGCTGCCATAGTGGATGAAGCTGTAAGGGTTTGCTTGACACTGCGTCAAGAAACCGCACCACCTGCTAACATGAAAATGTAACCTGAAGTGGATTTCAAACTATCTTGACATCCTGCAAAGTCTGAGTCAGAAAACCCAGCGATCTCCAACTGGTCTGACCTCCTGTATGTGAGCATGTAATCTTTTGTTCTCTTTAAATATCTCATGACCCTTTTTGTTGCTTTCCAATGGTTCATTCCTGGATTGCTTAAATACCTGCCTAAAACCCCAACTATGTATGCTATGTCTAGACGCGTACATACTTGGGCATACATCAAACTCCCTACAGCTGATGCATAGGGAATCTTTTGCATTTCCTCAATTTCCAAATTTCCCTTTGGGCACTGATTGAGACTAAACTTGTCTCCCTTAGCAACTGGAGTATCCCCGGATTTACATTCATGCATGCCAAACCTTTTAAGAATTTTTTCGATATAGCTCCTTTGTGATAATCCTAAAATACCCCGATATCGATCTCGGTGTATCTGAATTCCTAATACAAAGGACGCATCACCAAGATCTTTCATTTCGAAATTCTTTGATAAAAATTTCTTGGTTTCGTGCAATATGCCTATATCATTAGTGGCAAGTAGAATGTCATCAACATACAAGATCAGGAAAATATGCTTACTCCCCTTAAACTTGTGATATACACAATCATCAACAATATTCATCTCGAAGCCAAATGAGAGAATTACTTGATGAAATTTATAGTACCATTGACGAGATGCTTGTTTTAGTCCATAAATGGATTTTGTCAGTTTGCAAACCATACTCTTTGAATCTCCCTGTACAAAATTTTCTGGTTGCACCATATAAATCGTCTCATCAATGTTGCCATTAAGAAACGCCGTCTTGACATCCATTTGATGAAGCTTCAAATCATAATGTGCTACAAGAGCCATGATTGTCCTAAAAGAGTCTTTCGATGAAACTGGAGAGAAAGTCTCTTTAAAATCAATCCCTTCCTTTTGAGTATAGCCCTTAGCTACCAGACGAGCCTTATACCTTTCCACATTACCTTTAGAATCCCGTTTGGTCTTAAATATCCACTTGCAACCAATGGGTCTTATACCTTCTGGTAATGGGACAAGTTCCCAAACCTTGTTGTCTTGCATGGACTTATACTCCTCATTCATTGCTTCAATCCACTTTTCAGAGTTAGAACCTTGCATGGCTTGACAGAAGTTAACTGGGTCATCTTCCATCATACCATTGTTTTCCTCATGTTCCTGAAGAAATACCATGTAATCATCCGAAATAGCACTTCTTCTTTCTCTAGTGGATCTCCGCAAAGTTATTGGCTCATGATGCACAGGTTTTTGAGGATCTTGAGTTTGTTCTTCATGAACAACCAAATCATCTTGAGTAAGGGGTTCATTAACAATACCTTGTGGAGGTTCCGAACTTACTTCATCAAAAGTAACTGTTTGAATCGGTTCTGGAATTGTTACCGATTCTTCCTCCAAGACAAAGTTCCTGATTTTATTCTTCCCCCAAAACTCAATATCCTCAAAAAACATAGCAGTTCCCGTCTCAAAAATTGTCTTTAATGTGGGATCATAAAATTTATATCCCCTGGATCTTTCAGCATAACCAATAAAATAACTACTTACTGTTCGGGAGTCCAATTTCTTTTCATTTGGCTTATAAGGCCTTGCCTCAGCTGGACATCCCCACACATGGAAATGCTTCAGACTAGGTTGTCGTCCAGTCCAAAGCTCATAAGGTGTTTTGGTCGCTGCTTTAGTTGGTACTCTGTTCAGAATATAAGCTGCCGTCTTTAGTGCCTCTCCCCAGAGTGACTCCGGTAAGGTGGAATGACAAATCATACTCTTGACCATATCTTTAAGAGTTCGATTTCGTCTTTCAGCTACATCATTCATGCTAGGTGATCCCGGCATGGTATACTGTGGGACAATTCCACACTCCTCTACGTACCTGGCAAAAGGTCCTGGACGCTGTTCACCGACCGATCAAATCTGCCATAGTACTCACCACCACGATCGGATCCGACGGACTTAATTCTTTTATTGAGTTGATTTTCAACTTCGACTTTAAATGTTTTGAACACGTCTAGAGATTGTGACTTTTCATGTATAAGGAATAAGTATGCATATCGTGAGTAATCGTCTATGAATGATATAAAGTATTGTTGACTATTCCACGAAGGTGTAGGAAATGGCCCACAAATGTCCGTATGTATCAACTCTAAGACGTCTGTAGCTCTATATGCACCTGATCTCTTCGCTTTGGTCTGTTTGCCCTTAATGCATTCAACACAAACATCAAAGTTTGTGAAGTCAATGGACTCTAAGATTCCAGTTGACACAAGTTGTTCAATTCTATTTTTAGAGATGTGACCTAAGCGCCTGTGTCATAATGCTCCTGAGTGAGTATCATCAATTTTACGTTTAGTACCCAGTGATTACGTATTAAGGGTTTCATTATAGGTGGTCACGATATCAAGTAAATACAGATTATCATAAGGCAAAAGTGAACCAGTTCCAATAATATCTCGAATTAAAAGACAAACTGAACTTATTGTTTCCAAATGAACACAAATAACCTAATTTGTCCAGATAAGAACCGAAACCAAATTCGGTCTAAATGACGAGCACAACAAAAGTGTCTTTCAAATCCAAATAAAAACCGAGTACTCAATAACAATTTAAAATGCCCTATGGCTTCCACCTCTACCGATTTGCCATCTCCAACATATATCCATCTTTCGAATCAATTGGCTTCAGGTAGCTTAGGCAACCCTTTATAGAAACATTGATGTTAGTAGTTGCACCTGAGTCTAACCACCAAGTGTTACTAGGTACTTGACGCTAAATTGACTTCGAACGGACCAAAGTAGGAAATGTACTTTTGAGGATCGAACATAATTTAAATTGGCAGATACTGAAGCAATTGTAATTGGATTAGAACAAAAGAAATAAACTAATTATGCTCACATTATAAAAAATAAATAATTATAAATAAAATATATATTCAAATAATGGTTTAACCCATCTCAAGACACCCAATGCACCATCAATATCAAGTCTTTGGACGATAATATTAATTGCTAGAGGTATCTTGTTGTAATAATCAAACATTGATAATAAAGCACGTCCAACAACAAACCAGTCTTTGGATTGATTTATCATCGACAAAGCAAATCCTTATAATTATCACATGTTTATCATTACAGGTGTGTATGTAATTCGGCCAAATATTAATCTTCCTTTGGGCCGACTAATACTCGCATGAATATACACAAACACTAACATTTAATATTTTTTACGAACTACCCAATTCAAGAGATGTTACTTTGGTAACTTCTTGACTCAATTTGCTCACAAAAAATATTAAACTACCACAAAATTTGAATATTATACAACAAAACCAAATTTTGTAACTAATAAAATATATAATTTTTCATGTTGCGCAAGAATTAACACTGAAATATTAATTATCCTGGGAACACCACACGCACCCAATTCTTTAGTTACTAATTTACTGGATTAATTCTCCTGGGGACCACCACATGCACCCATTCTCTTCCTTCTCTCTCACTCTTTCACTTTCCTTAATTCAAATCTTCCTGGGGACCACCACATGCACCCATTCTCTTCCTCGCGGCAGCAGCTTAGAAACAGAGAGAGAAATCAGATGGAGGATATATCGAAATACGCGCACAGACCTGCACACGTGGCAGTAGCGAGGCGTGACCATGCCGCACTGCGCCACCTCGTTTCCTCCATTCCTCGACTCGCCAAAGCCGGTGAGGTAAACACTGAAGCTGAATCGCTCGCGGCGGAGCTCAAAGCCGACCAGGTGTTCGTGGTTATCGACCGCTGCGACGTTCCGGGAAGAGAAACCCCTCTCCACCTGGCGGTGCATCTCAGAGACGCTGTCTCCGCCGAGATTCTCATGTGTGCTGGTGCGGATTGGAGTCTTCAGGACGAGCACGATTGGAGTGCGCTCCAAGAAGCCGTGTGCACTAGAGAGGAAGCCATTGCGGTGATCATCGCGCACCACTACCAGCCTCTTGTTGGCAAAATTTCAGCGACTCAGGTTTCGCGCATTACGCTCTCCTCACTACCGTTCCCAAACGCAGCCGCTTACGGTTGCTAAACGCGGTTCGCTCGCCGCTACTGCAGCGTGGCGATTCGCGACGAGGCAGGCGAAAGGGTCTCGCTCGATTTGGGAATTTACCCCAAATTTGAATGTAGGGTTCATACAATTTGAAGATTATTTTCCGATTATTAATTAGCCAGAATCTCAATTTTGTTAAATGTAATTTCTAAACATAAACATGAATAAAGTATGGGTTGCTCTGATACCAATTGTAAGGTTAAACTGTAATTGATTATGATCTTCATCCTAATGATCAAACATATATCTATAATCCCATACTGTAAACATGTTATATAAACTAAATGCGAAAGCGTCACTGAATTAAGCTATAATGATGATATTCTTTGTAGAAGCACTTTAGATTTGATCTTATGGTCTTCCACTGAAGAAGACCAGATTTTCCTATGGATTTTCTTTCTTGATGGGAATAGAAAAGAAACGAGATCAGTATCTCGTATTCGTCTGTGTGCTCATCGAAGGGGACCACGACCCTTTATATAACCAAAATTAGGTTAATTACTTAAGTTTTAGTATTTTCAATTTAGCTCTCATCAAATTAAAAATTACTCTATGGTCTCTACACAATTATATTTTCATGACATATGCCTTTAGCCAAAACTTTAATTTATTCAGATCACTCTATTATTTGGCTTAATAAATAATGACCCTAACACATTTAAATATGTATCATATATTTACGTCACCCAAATTTTGCTAACAGTTATTTAATCAAATCTAATTAATGTATAGATAAAAAGATATTCACGTATCTGTGGAAAAGAAGAAATAAATCGAAAGAGGGCAAAGCGAACACAATTTTCCAGTAGTTTCTTTTCATCTGCAATGGAGGAAAAAGAAAGAAAAAAACAAATAGATGGACTCGTGCAGAACGAAGTTCCTAAAATGAGAAGAAAATGGAGAAAAATGTGAAAGTACATCTTTATTCTAAAACATACGTAAATAAACATAATAGTTTTTATTTTTCTTCATTCAAACAACAATTAAATATTTATTTTTCATTTTATTTTCTCTCTTTATTCGCTGAAAGAAAAGCGTTTGAGTGGTGACAAAACAGACGCACCAAATGATAGAAGACAAAACTGAGTGGGGACGCTTAGGTGAAAGGAAGAGAAATAAACACAAGAGAGAGAGATTAAAAGCATAGAAATGAATATAAAGTAAGTATTAAAAAGTAAAAATCCATCAGGTATTATAATTAAATTGAGAAGATACTGCAAATGTGACAGATGATGATATCGCAAAGGTTGAAACCCAAGTTAGCAAAATAATTTACGTTTATCGAACAGAAAAGTGAAAGTTTTGCAACATAGAATAGAAGAAAATAATGATATATTTATTCTCTTGAATGATTCAATTTGTGGTGTTATTTATAAATATCCATTGATTGATTGAAAAGAGTTTGAATTTGACGCGAGATGTGATGAACAGTGGTGTGGGAATATTGCATTTGGGGTGGATGGTGGAGTAAGCACTTGGCAGTGTCAGGCCAAATGTAGCAGAAGATTGTTTTGTTGTGTGAGAAATTCCCTCCCCAAGCCAAAACGAGTGATCAACAAATAAGATTGAGAAACGACTCAAAACCTATGTGCCTATGTTTCCTTTGTGGTACATGCAACAACATTGTATGTATCATCTTTCTCTGTCCCTCTTCTGGTGAAAAATGTTTATTTTATTGCTGTTGTCTTGTTCCACTGTCTCTTCTACTCTCTGTCTGGGATCGTTGTTCGTAGCTCGCCATCTTTTATAGTGGATGGGAAGCACTGCCCTGTCGCTTCAAGCGATGGCGAATAGTTAATACACTAATTCTGTGTTTGGATTCATGAGAAAAAACTAAGGCACTTTTAATATAGGTGGAATTTGTTAGGACCCGACCAGATTACAGTTATCTTCGTACGTCATCATTCTAACTGGGTTCCCTGTGTCTTGTTTTTGGTTTGCGTCTGCAGTATCGGGATTCATACACTGCACGAAACACCCAATTTCATGATAAAATGGAAAACGCTGCAGAGAGGAAAAGGAAAGACCAAGCATTCCTTTGTCCCTGCCTCTTGTTTCAATACCATCCTCTAGAATCTGATATGTAATATGTATATGATGAGAAAACAAGAACAAAAAAAATGAAAAAAAGAAAAGATCGTAGAAAGTGGATGAGGGTGGTTCCCCTCTTTCTCTGCTCCTGTCGCCATCGGTTTCCCTTTTGCCCGCAATTCCCTCTCTTTCTCTCACTCTTCAACTCAACAACACACACTTTTCCTTTCCTTCCTCACACTCTCATTATCCTGTTCCGTTTTCAAAAGAAGAGGGACACTCTGTGAAACCACATTTTTTTGTGCTAGAGATAACTATTTACTCTAAATCAAAATAAGTTTTTTGAGATACTCAACAATAATGTATTTGTTTCGAGTATAATAATATATATATAATTAATTAACCTGACATAATTGTAAATCCTTCGTCTAATGACAAACTATTGTCACCATAACAGGTCTTAAAATGGGTAGTAACAATGCAAAATATTACGTAAATCATGTATGTAATATGACGATTTTGTTGAAATTTAAGTAATGCGATCTAATTTTCTTCATATTTTATGAACGACCCAAATTCTAGTTGAAAGTTTGTTTTTTGGGTATTTAGTTTGATATATTTTATTGTGATTTGTGTGTATAAGATTGTTAAAATTAGAATTTCATGAATCGGATCTTTAACCTATTGGAAAGTATGTGTTGTAAAATTTAAAATCTAAATAAACCTAAATTCACTTATTTACGTCAAAATTCAGCGAAGTCGATGGCGGTTAACTCATGTATTACCTCACTACCACAATTTTTATTACACTTTAAAAATTAACCGTTGTTAAAGTTAATATGGGATGATACATTTTTTAGCTAAACCAATTAATTGCATGTTGAAAAATGGCTATCATAGTCCTTGTAGGTTACAAGCTAAGAGGACTATTCTTTTGACTTGTTTTTTTTTAAATAACCTTTAATTTTTATAGGCACAAAATTTGTTATGTTCATATTTAACTTTCTAACAATGTGATGTTAAGTCTTGCACCGAAAAATAACACTACCAAAATATTTACACAAATTTATTATGAGGATGATGATTGTTTAACAACCCAAATAATCATATAATGCAGTTTTATGTTTTTATTAGATATGTACCTAAACTAGGTACTTTTGGGTAGGTTTTTCAAAGGTTTATTAATTTCATATTATAAGTATGTAAAACATTAAGTTATAGGATTACATCAATTTAGGCTCTGAGTGGGTGCATGTTAAAATGACAAATGTTGGTTCTTGAATTAAAGGATATGGACCTAGACTGAAGTGTATGAATTAAAAAGTGGCATAAGTGGTCAAATCTATGATAATGTGAATAATTATAGAATTGTAATAGCTAGTTATTATTGAAAATTGTAATAGAGTAAATAATTTCAACGTAAAAACCTAGCTGGGTAATAAAATTTGATTGAAAAGTATTGATAATTAGGTTTAATCTAATGGTAATACCGATTTAATAGCTCTGGTTCATTTTTCCTTATCCAATAAATCAAACTTAGTTGCGATCATTTGATATTCAATTCAACTTCTTAGAATTGAATTACAATGAAATTAAGTTTCAAATAACTAGTTACATCAAATTATAAAAATCATCTTTTAAGTCATTATAATTATCAACCTAATTTGGGGAATTGACTCATCCAATTTCTAAAAAAATCATTCTTTTTTTTTCATTTTATAAAAATGTCACATTTTTTCACACCAAAATATTCAATAATTCAAACACGAATAAATAATATTAAAACTAAAATATTTAATTAAAACACAAAATAAATTTAAAAATCATAAATAAAATAAAACAAAATATAAATCAAGTGATTTAAATTACCTCATTTAATATCGAACGTTACGTTAAAAAAACATAACATTATTAAAAAGTCAATTACCATCTACCACATTATGCAATCTTTTTACAATATTTAAAAGGATTAAACAAGTAAAAATCCGTGTTAAATAAGATAAGCTAAAAAATTATTAAATTTATTCAAAATAATATTTTAAGAGACACAGCATTACCCAATTAACAATACTTATTGACGTTAGAAAGTACGTCACGAATGTCGGAAAGACCACACGTTGTAGCAGCGACATTATTGCCGACAATTTATTTTATATTCCTACGTAATTCCCGTGTCGCGTATCCTGTTTCTCTTCTTACTCTCTTAACCTAACTTTTTGTTAATTTTTTATTTTAAGAACTATTTCTACACGATAAGTAAAAATATATTTACACAACAGTACAATAACTAAATAAGATTTTGGGGAAATAATTTTTAAAAATCATTTTAAGATTTAAATAATATTAACAAAATCCATTCTAAAAAAATGGCAAATGATATTATAAATATCTTTTAAATCTTATTTTTATAGAGTATGGGACTATTTTTGTTGCAAGCTTTATTTTTCTTATATAATCTCTGCAATATTATTTATTTCTTTTTTAATATTATTATTATTATTATTTTATTTCCTATAAAATTATAAATTTTGATATAGATCTATTTTTTATTTGAATGTTTTCATCTCATAGTATGCTATTCAAGAGAAATATTAATTTTGGTTTATTAGTTTTCGAATTTAAGAGGATTCAGAATTTATATTTGGAAAGATTAATCTCTTTGATTGGATTCTGAAGGAACATTTAAAATGTAAAACTTCTTTACCTTTTCTACTTTCTTAAAATACTCCAAGCCCTCTATTCCACGATTATATTATTAGAGTTCGACTTTAGTTATTTAAATAAGTGAAGTTTGTGTTTTATATATTTGATGTTAAGAAATTCAAGAATAAGTTGTATGTGTTTATATTATAAATTTTTTATTAGTTGTTTTTCTCATAAAAAAATATATAAGGAATATAACTTATTTTATACTATAATCTAATTAATTATAAATTTACATAATTATTTTAAAAACAATTAAATCAAGAGGCAACAGGGCGCACATATTATCTCTCTTGATTCATAGTGTTGATGGTTGAAGGTGATGTGGTACGACCATAACCAGGGTCCTGCCACAAAACATCCTCACTCTTCCCCACTTGTTACCTCCTATGTGGGAACGAAACAAAAACCCCACCTCTGTCCCATCACCCACGCGCTTCTCCACGCGCCGCCATTCATTCCCTTCGCCAGTGGTGGTGGGTCCCACGCACCTTACGTCAGTCCGTTTCAGGGTACGGGAATGCGTGCACCCCTGAAATTGACCCTCGCATTGCAGAGTTTCAGTGTTTGGCATTGGCGTTTTCCCTCACGCGCGCCCTTCCCCACAATCTTCTTTTTCGTTTCAAATTGAATTTCTGATATCACAAGCGTTTTCTTTTCTTTTCTTTTCTCTTTTCCCTTTTTCTCATTTGTCCTCGCCTCATGCTTCCTCCTGCTACTACTGCACAATGCCACTGTAGCAAACACAGTGAGCCGTGTGTGTTTGTGTGTGTCAAAACTTCACATATTTTCTTTCACCTTCAATGCAATCACTGATTAAAATGATGAAACTTCACATACTATATGCAAATTCAACTTGTTATTCCAATATTTTATTATTCAAAAATATATCCATAACTTATAACACTAAAACAAAATTCCAAAAATATACACAAACATACAATTATACATAAGTTTACATTTAAATAGAATTCAACCATGTTGATTGCCAATAACAACTTTACATCTAAAACAAAAAATTAAATAAAAAATTAATATAATGTAAAATTATGAAAAAACAAACATATAAATGACTCAATTATATTTTTTATAAGAAAAATTTATGGTAATTTTATACCTATTTAATCTTTACTAAATATATTTATCTCTAAAATATTTAATATTAAATTCAAAATATTGGAAAATAAGGAATACTAATTCAAATCAATTTTCTGCACCCGTCTTAGTTAGACTGGTTTGATAAGTTATTGAATTTTAAAAAATATTAATAATAGCGATTTAACATATTAAAACAAACAGATAAATAATTTTGAGCCATTATTTTATTCATTGATTTAATTTATTAAATATTATTTGATCAATTGAGAAACATATTAAAATTTGGGTTAATCTATTAAATTGCATGAATAGGGTTTCCGCAGAATTCAGGGAGATGATTTAACATATTAAATTAAGTTTAACAGATTAAATAAACAAATACTACGAACATCTTAAATTTATTTTTCCTTGAGAAGAAATCATTTTTAGAAATGAAAGAGATTTTTAAGAGAGATAGAAGAGCACAGGTGTTACATGTCATGATCTTGGCAAAAGATTAAACAAAGTTTTTCAAGGATCACAAATAAAAATATTAGTTTATAACATTCGCTTCCTTGTAAAAAGTAAGAATCAGGTGATATTGTTTTCTTAATTCTTCAATGCACGAAGAGGGTGTGTTGAAGGGTATTGTTTAGGGTTTTATAAGGGAGTTTGTTAGTGTCCTTGTAATGTTCAATAAAATTTCATGTTATAGATTTCATTGTTTACATGTAGGTGAGTTTGAACTCTTGAATTGGAAATTTAATTTATTCTGGGTTTATGATGAAGCAGTATAAAATAAAAATACTGGTATCTCTTTACTTTGAATTAATGTTTATGAATACTCAACAGTTCATTTAAAACCTAAGAAATACAATATTAGTATTCAATATTTGAAAAGATGTATTCAATATTAGTGTTATCTTAAAACATTTCATTTGATGAAATCAATCGATTCAAACCAATTATTCCTTTATATTTAAAAAAAAAAAAACTAAGGAATTTTATTACCCTCTTTTTTATAATTTCAAAAATAACTTAAAAATTTAACAATAATATCTTAACAATATTGTCTTACTATCTTACTAATAAATCGTGCTAAGTTAGCACGAAAAAAAAAAATTGCGACCCACCAAATGACTTGTGTGTAATAATTATATGAAAGAGTTTTTTTTATAATTATTCTTTATTAGAAAAAAATAAAAGTATCACAATTTAAAGAAAAATTAATTATTATGATTTATATATTTAAAATATAGTAAAATATTTAAAATAAAAAATATATGAATAATTAGTAAAGAAAAAAATGAATACATTTAAAAAGTGAAAAGAGAAAATAAAATAAAGTTTTAAAAAATTAATTATATAAAAAAGTGAACACATATACTTTAATGTAATACAAAGAGAATAAGTGTTTGCTTAAATAAGAATAAATAATAAAAAAGCCAACTCTAATTGAACATATTTAAACCCTTAACTTATAATTGCTTAAATTGTCAAATAATTGAAATTAAAGTCAAGTAACTAAGGTTTGCTTATTTGATTTAAAGCGTCACAATTTTGAATTACGTTTAAATTAAATTAATACTTCTAAACCCACATAACTATATGCAAGTTTATCTTTTACTTTAATTGCAACATATGTTATTTAAAAAAAGTTACAATTTTAAAAAACTCAACTATACTAAATTTGAATCGAAGTGCTTTTGTTAGAAATTTGTGTCATTTTTAAATATTTTATTTTTTTTAATAATTTTCTTATTATTAAGTATAAAAATATCACCACTAAATTTATTAATTTGGTCTAATTCATATGGATTTTGCTCTCAGTTACAAATTAAGTTAAATTACAAATTAAGTTAAAACAAATATTAATAGATTGGTCAACACAATTTTATTTGGATTAAACCGAATTGAGTAGCGATATAAATAAAGATTACATAATAGCGAGTACAAGAATAAATAAGACGGTTTAAATGAATAATCACTCAATTTAATATTGGGTAACATAAAAAGATTTTGATAATTCATTTTACTACAGTCATAATTTTTTTTAATCTAATTCTATATTAGATTAATAGGTTAATTATTTTTCATTTAAAAAATAATTAATTCAAAAATTTAAAATATATTTTAAAAAATCTAAAATTTTAAAATATATTTTTAAAATTTAATTTATATTAACCAATTTAATTTTTATTCTAATATAATAATTTAATATGTAAAAAAATAAAGACTTTTTTTTATCATCATTTATTTTTAAATAATATATAATAATCTAAAATAATAATTCATTCTAATAATTACATTTTTAAATAAATAAGTGTCAAAAACTTATAAGTACGTATAATATATTTTTAAAAAATTAATTTATAATATATATATATATATATATTAATAAAATTTAATTTAAAAAATTATTATTATTTTATAAAATATATTAACTTATAACCCTACGAACTTGACTTATATTTAAATCATGATCTAAATTAATTATCAAAATTAACTTAATTTAATTTAAATAACAAAAAAAATCTATTTTAACCTATTTTGTGAAATTTTTAGGAGAAATATTATTTTGACACTCGTACAAATAAAAAGTCCCAATAGATACCGAAATAAAAAGGATTAATGGAAATAAAATACATAAATATGGTAAATAAAAATATTTAAACAATTTTAAATTTTTATGTTTTTAAAAAATTTAAAATTCTCTAATTTAAAATAATAAAATTACTAACATTTTTTTTATTTTATAGCCAAAAAATGTAATTTTGCCTTAAAACTTTAATATTCTGGTAGGGATATTATGCTACTCATTTGACATTCGATATTGAGTCTCAAATGTTAACATTCTATACTTAATCTCGTACCAATTGTAGTACTTGTTTAGATGTTACTCTTGTCAAAACTATCTATCAACACTCATGATCTTTACAATACTTTATATGGGAGTTTTCTAAACCGTACTTGGAAAGTTTAAGGATAAATTTTATACCTTTCCACTTTTGTATTCTATTTCACGTATGCATATTTAGCACACTTTCGTAAACACTTCATATTTCAACTATCTTTGTTTTCATTAAAACTTGAGTTGCCGAATCCCAACCTTAGAGAAAGAAGACAACATTGTAAAAAGACTAACGAGGGTGAGATTTGGTATTCTAAAATTATATTTGATGACATATACAACTATTGTATATTTAAATAGATAGTAAATTGCCATAAACGATTAAATGCACCATAAATCACAAGCTCCCCGAAGAATTCGTCTGATAGGGATGACTTTTGACACTCAAAAAGAGTTGGACTGTTAAAATTAGTGCCCCAAAAATTCGCATATTTATTATTCAAACAATTAATTATACCTCCTATTAAAGAATTGCATTTATTGCTCCAATAAATTAACATGTCTTTTTTAATATATTGTTTGATTTTTGGAACTAAAATACATCATTTACCATGTTTGGAAGGGACCATAAACTTCAAGTGTGATTAAACTCCAGATTAAATAAATTATTTTAATTTATTATGTTTAAAAATCAAATATTAATGTTTAGATATTATTCACCCACAAAGTTTGAATACACGTCCAAATAGGATATGGGAAATTTGAAACCACATCCAAATAGACAAATAGTCTCTTGGATTAAAGTTTTCGACCAATAAGCAATTTATGTCTCCTAGAATAAACATTAATAATCCTCTAAAAAAAAAAAAACAGAAGCCAGGTAAGTGGATATAGGCCGTGGAAGACAAGGATCGAGAAGTAAGAGTGGCTAGTGAAGAGGGATCAGGGAGAAAACAGAGAAGCGGAAAAAGTGTATGAAACAGCCATTAATGACTTTGTTGTTTGTTTCCTCTCCAAAACTTGCTTATTAAGCTCCACCACCCACCACCCACTGCGATCTCACACTTCAGCCAACAATTCCCATCCTCTCAAAATGGATTTTGAGGACCATGACGAAGCTCAGCTGGGGATGACCGGACCCACCTATGATGACTCGCCGTTCAACCCCTGCCGAGTCAAAATGCCCACTCACACCGCCGAAGAAGACCCCGTGCCGCCGGCGGTCACTCCATCTCCTACCAACACCCGAAACAGTGCCAGGGGAAAGTACAAAGAGTGCCTCAAGAACCACGCCGTCGGAATCGGCGGTCACGCGCTCGACGGCTGCGGCGAGTTCATGGCGGCGGGCGCGGAGGGAACCCTGGACGCCCTTAAATGCGCCGCCTGTAACTGCCACCGCAACTTCCACCGGAAGGACCCCGCCGATAGCCCCTTCCTAATGCCCTTCCAACAGCGCCGCCACCAGCCGCCGCAGTTCGCGGCGGCCTACTTCCGGGCGCCGGCGGGCTACCTGCAGGTGGCGGGTCAGCAGCGTGGAGGCCTAGCCACGCTGGCACTCCCGTCCACGTCAGGTGCGGGCGGTGGGCCCCAGAGCCCGAGGGAGGACCAGGAAGATGTGTCGGACCCAAGTGGTGGTGGTAGCGGGTCCAACAAGAAGAGGTTCAGAACCAAGTTCACTCTGGAGCAGAAAGACAAGATGCTCGCTTTCGCTGAAAAATTGGGTTGGAGGATTCAGAAGCACGACGAGAGTGTCGTGCAGGAGTTCTGTTCCCAAACTGGCGTTCAGCGTCATGTCCTTAAGGTCTGGATGCATAACAACAAGCACACCCTTGGTAAGAAGCCCTAGAAATATAAATCACAGCGCCCCCCCTCTCTCTCTCTATCCTACCCTTTCCCTCTCTTTCTCTCTCTCTCTCTCTCTCTCTCTCTCTCTCTCTATATATATATATATATATATATGTTTCTATGTATCTAGTTACCATCACAGCCACCATTCCAACCTGGAAGCTCAACGTTGAAGCTGGGAAATTGCGTTGCTGATGTCTGACAAGTCCGCTAGCACTAGCTGATCAGGATCATAGTTCATAGGGTTTTTCTTTTTCTTTTTGTTGTTTACCTTGTTAAATTTTCCTTATGACATTGGAGAAGGGTGGGGGTATTTTCGTTATTCTCTTTACAAGGTCACATTCTAGTTCCAGCAGCATTGTTGTTGGTGGACTGGTATATTTGGTTATATATTTATATATTATTATCAGAAGTGGTTTTGTCTGTGCATGTTTTTGTTACTTTGAATAAGGTGTGCCGTGGAAGTGATTTTGGTACATTGTATTGCGTTGACGAGAGATCGAGTGCATGAATGATGGTGACGATGGCGAAGGTGAATAGATTGCGTTGTTTTGGTTTGTGGATTGTGAATCTCATGTGTGCGGTCTATCCTAAGACAGTTGTTAGAAGGAGGAAGTTTCTCGGTACCATCAATTCCTTCCCACCTGCATTTTCCGTTTTACATGTCTTTCTATACGTCTTCGCTTGTCTCTGCGGCTTCGCTTTCTTCTGCAAAGTGCGCAAACCTTTTCAGCTCCTCCTACGCACTGAAAAAAGTGGGTGGGCGAATTCTCCATCCACTCTCTGCTACCTTCATGCATTTTCCTTCATTTCTACAGAACCTTGTTTTCGTTATTTCTGTTGTTTTCGCCAGCTTTGTTGTTTTCTTCTATCCTTTATTCATAAAGGAGTTACGCTAATTAATACGGTACTGACTAATTAATATATTATTAAATGTTCTGGGTTTCTGTCCCCTATGCTAGATAGAGTCTATTGTTTTGAGTTTTTCTGTTCACTATTTACCAAGTTAAAAAACATTCACCTGTCCAGAAATTCAGAACCATCGTATGAAGATTGGACGACTCTACTTGCTCTCGGTCATTCAACTTTTTTTTCAAGCCTCTTCATCGTTCAACTTAAAATACACATTCAAGATCTCAATCATCCATTCTTCATTCAACAACTATAACGGTTGAATGTGCGAAAATGTGAACTACCCCTCTTTATTACTTTTTATTTTTTAATCTGTGTGTTAATCCAGGAGAAAGCTTTATGCGTGTTCATATATATGATACAAAGATATGCGTAGACACTAGAACGAGAGTGTACTATTAATAGAGGAACACAAGTTTCTTCTGCTACTCTCCAATCCAACCACTACTATCCATCACATTGAGGGATATATATATAATTTTTATATTCTGATATAGATATGAAGTGTAGTAAATATGCGAAGATCTTAGTAGTTAGAAGAATGATATGTGTGTGTGCAGACTAAAGGAGGAAGGTGGTTGATTAGTTAGGGTAAAGATAGAGAAACGTGGTTAGTTTGGAAGGTTTCCTAATTGCGGTGTGTAGAGCAGGAAATGGTTTTGTGAACAGTTTACTTGTTAAGGAGTGGAAAGTGTGGGTAAGAGGAAGTGACGTTGAAGATGCCTTGTATGCTTGTTTTGGGACTTAAGCATGAGTTAAAGCTGCGTGGTTCATATCTGTGGTCCACTGTCCACTATGGCACTATGTAATGAAAACCTTGGTCATAGTTTAGGCTTATCAGACAGTAAGAAAAGACTTTATATAGGCTTATACCCCTCCCATATACAGACATGTTTATGGCTTTTGTCTATATGCTCCCTTCCCCGATTCTGTTACTGCACAGCCACATGATTTCTCGATTCTCACTCTTATCTCTCTCAAAATCAGAAACATATAATGCCACCATGCTTGCATTTCACCTGACCTCTCACTATAACACCTATTCTTTTTTATACTCTAGTGATCTTGGGATTGAATTAACCTAATAAAGCAGTATGGTCCTGTCTCTCTCAGTAATCTTGGTTGCTCCTAATATCCCATGTCACATCCACCTCCATTTGGGACAAACAACACAAGTAGATACAAATTTTGACAAGCCTTCTACAAAAATACTCATACACTTATGTTTAAACAATCGTCATTATTTCTGTTTCTTTTTATTCATATTTTCTTTCTCTTTCTTCAGGCCAATAAAGTGTTTTTAAAATATAAATATTAATTATCATATATATTCACCATTTAATTTATTACTTTAATTTTTCATTAAACAATTATTCCAATCAAATATAGATGGATTTAGTTCCATTTTAATTTAATATAAATTTAAATTAAACCAAATTATATTCATATTATTGGTTTTACAATTTTTTATTTTTATAAATTATTACATGTTTTATAATACAACAATCGTAAATAAAAAATATATTAGCTTACTTTATCGGATATGATTATTATTATTATATTTATAAAACTTGATTCTTAAATAAAAAATATAGCATATTAAAGGTTTACATAGGAATTCACAGCATAATTAAAACATAAATGATTTTATTGGTTTGAGGATAACAATGCACCAATCATCCTTTACTTCTCTTATCTTGTCACGAATAATCATTATTAGTGTGAGTATTTAAAAATATAAACGACAATTTAAAAAATTATTAAGAAACATAAATAGGCATAATTATGTCTTTTTCATTAAACGCCTATTTGTACTTTTTTAACTGTAATTTAAACACTTTTTATTAACTACTCTTAAACATTAATTTAACAATTATTAGTCAATTTAGTGGTTGGAATTACAAAAATTAATTCTAATGTTAAAAAGATATTTAACTAATTATGTCAAAATCCAATAACTAATTTAACTGATAATTATGCTATAATTTTACGGATTAAATTGTTGACAATATAAAACTTTATTATAGGAAAATGAGGAAGAAAAAAAGCATATAAAAAGATAGAAGAAAAGTGCAGAGAAGGTATTATTCTTGATGAGGAGTCAACTCAAAGGTGCAGTTGTCTAAGATTGGGAGGGACCTCATTTAGATTCGTTTGTATTCACAGCTTTTTCCAAAGCGAAATTGAAGATTTGAAAGGAAAAAAAGGGAAAGTTTCCAAGTAACCATGCTTGTTTTTCGATTACACAAGTAACCAAGTAACTAGGTTTTGTTTTGTCACCTTATGACCTTGCAACTCTTTTATACAATAATATATATTTCCTTTTGTATATTATTTATTTCACATCATAATAAACCAGATAGATAACAAAATAATAATATTGTATAAATTATATAATGTGTTGGGGTGCTGACTTCAAATTTCGGCTTCCCCACTGTTTCCCAATATACAAACAATGAAATTAAGGTTTGAGAACCACTGAAAAGAGCAATGTTATGTTATGTCAATGCCCCCACAAAGTAAAAAAGATACCCCTATGTCTGTTTCCATCTTCTCTCTCTCTCTCTCTCTCTTTTCAATGGGTGGTGTTAATTAGAAACCCAGCATTATAATGAGTAAGGAAATGTCCACCAATTACCATCACGCATGCATTTCATAACAGGTTGAAGATTTATGGTAGGAAAAAAAAAACTCATCATAACCATAATTTCAACGATAGTTATGAATCAGACATTACAAGACAATAAAAAAATATTTTGAAGAAGAAAAACATTATTGAAGTGAGGTAGGACAGATTCCGTTAGTATGATTACAATCACCGAAGGCTTTTGCCTTTATAAAGACAGACTTGTCGAGTTTAGATGTTGCATTCTCATCATCTCTCTTTTCAAAAAAATTTATGTATCGCAGAAGATATAAATACAGATATATATATATATATATATATATATATATATATATATATATATATATATATACCCAAATAATGCACGAGTCCTCTGAATATAAAGTAAAACATTAGAAACATTCCATGTGGCTCAAGCAAAAGTGATGATAGGTTGTGAAATTGGCTAAGAAAGATGACACACTCTAAAAGTGACTTGTGATGAGTCCAAAATCAACATCTTGGTTCACAAGTATGAATTATTGAAGATGAAAAACCCATGAATCTCCATACATCTTATACAAATTCAATGACATAATGTCTTTGGTTAAGAAATATGCCATCAAAAAATAAAAATTATATAAAATCTTACTTTTTTTCACGAAATGAATCAATTGGTTCTCTTTTCATTCTTTTCGTTGAAAATCAAGATAAAATGATTTATATATAAATTTCAGTATGTCCCATCAAAAGAAAGACCAGAACGAGTCAATTTTTTTTATATAACATATTTTTTTTATATATATTTTTAATTTGTATCTTTAATTATATAAATATATTTTAAATTTTTATTTATTAATTAATAATTGTATTAGATAAATTTAATGAATTATTATATTTATGTAGTAACATACTCCATCATAATTCATAATAATATATTTGTATATTCTAATAAATAAATAAAAATATAATATTTTTAATTATAATAATTTTAATTTTAATATATAAATATTTTTTAAATTTAAAGGAATAGATTAAACAGATAAAATGGATTAATAAGTTAAAATTATCAACTGTCCTGTCAATTTGTGACTGATTAGTCTAGTAGATTTCAAAGATGTGAAAATTTTAAATTTATTTAACTTATTTTGAATAATTTTATTTATTATTATAATAAAAAATGCACAATTTTTATTATGGGTTGTGAAAGTTAGCCTCATTACTTATTTTACAAAATTAACATAATTTATTATATATAGCGCATGTTTGATTTGCAATTAAAAATTTTAAATTTATATATCAAGAATGTGAAAAAACTGAAGATGCTTAAAGTAGTATAAACTTAAATGTAGATCATAAAATAATGTTTGACTTTATCCAATATAAAATATGTATATAATTGTTTGTTTTGCATCTCCACTTTTGCGAGGAAATCTAATAATTTGGGTTTTTTTTTTTTTTAGGCTTTCCATTCTTCTAATAATTCATCATTTAATGCTTGAAATGTTCAAATGTTACATGAAATCAAAATAATATTTGAATTTGTAAAGAAAATAATGCACTCAAAGTTTTGAGGACGATTTATTTAACGGTGAATAATAAATAATAAATATTAAGATTATGTAATGTAAATAAATTTATGCAACTGGTCTAAAGTATATCTGTATTTTTAATTCTTCAAACATTTATATTTTGTAAATATATTTTATATTTATACTAAACTAATTACTGTCTTCCTGATCTTATACTTGATGTTTACTTATATATAATACTTATTTTTAGTAATACGTTAAAATTAAAGTGTCACGTTACCTAAAATAAAATAAAGGCAGTCAATTAAGTGACAGACTTTATTTTTTTTTAATTTAAAAAAATTCAAAAACTGTATTTAAACAATTAAAATGAAGGGTAATGGGGGTTGAGAGATGCAAAGGAGAAAAAGGTGTTGAAAGGTTAGGGAGGCAAGGATAGAAAGGTAATTCTATGTTTTAAAAAACTTTTCGGGGATGAGATTAGAAAAAATAAGGGTGAGAATAACATCTTTCCCCAAAAATATTAGATTTGCACGACATTTTCTTTAGTAACAGTGGCTAAAAGCCCAAACAACAAAGCTAAAGATTGAGAGTTAAAATATCATAAAATATTTTAAACGAAAAACCGTTAATTAGAATGTTTTTTAGTTAACAGATACTAATAAAATCTCAATGATGGTGTAAAAAAAATAAAAAATTCCTGCCGATTAAATACTCACTTCGATCTATGGTTTAATTATTATTCAATTTTTACAAGTATAAAAAAAATTACTTTTTAATTTTTATATTTCAAACTTATTCATTTTAATTTTTATAAATACTATATTAGTTTCCATTAATTTGTACTCATATTATTTTAATATTTTTAAATTTTTTTAATTTGAAGTTATATGAATTAAAATTTTAAAAATAATATGAATAAAGATTAAAAGATATTTTAAAATTAAAATATTATATTAACAATCGAAACATTATTTCACAACCGAATATCTCATTATAATAATAATAATATGCATTATTATACTAAATAAATTTTGAAAATGTTAATTAGATATTTTTTTTAAAATATAAAAAATTAAAAGGTAAATTTTGTTAAAAAGATAATAGTTTTTACCTTAATTTCTCAATGATATAGAAAAAGACAAATAGTCAAACTTTCTCTTTCCATGGTAGAAAGCTTGGTGGTTGTGTGAAGGTCCAGCAAGCAAGAAAGCAAGCAACTGATTGACAACAAGTGCACTCAGTGTCCTCTCCTCTGTTTCCTAGGTCAAGTCCAACCAAACTCCCCTGTCTCTCTCACTTTGTTCCTCGTTTCCTCCGACCCATCCTTTACCAATTACCATTGCTTCCTCCGACTTTCAACATCCATCACACTCTCTATCTGGTTTCAGATTCTTCACACCCCCAACACATATTCCTCTCTGATGGGTTCCATCTCGCACGTGATCACCACCAACCCCACTCTCCTCCACCTACCCTCTACACGCTCCACCGCAATCCGCTTCTCCGGCTTCAATCCTCGCCTCCTCCCGCTGCCACCCGCCAGAGGAGTCGCCGGGAAAGTCGGCGTCTTTGCGGAGCTTAGCAGCCCAAGTAGCACCACTTCCGCCATCGATTTCAGCGACCCCGATTGGAAAACAAAGTTCCAGCAAGATTGGGAGGCTCGTTTCAGACTGCCCCATCTCACCGACATCTTCCCAGATGCTCCTCCCATTCCTTCCACCTTTTGTCTTAAAATGAGGTTCGTTGGTAGGTCTAGTTTTTTTTTCTTCTTCAACCAGTTAAAGAAATACATTATTTTTCCCTTTCATTCTTCACTATTTTCTTTACTCTCTTTTTTTTTTTTTTTCCTTTCTCTTCAACCAGTTAAAAAAAAAACTTGTTCTTCATTATTCTTTGTCTTTTTTTCTGTTTTCTTTACTCTCATATACCATGAGTACTGTCTTTGTTAATGTGTTTTGCCTGTGACAGAACTCCGATTGATAGAGACTTTCCTGGTCATTATTCTTCTGATGAGGAGTGGCATGGATATATTAATAACAATGACAGAGTGCTTCTTAAGGTATGGTGGTTTTTCTTCATCCCTGGAAACAAAATTCATTGGAAGAGTTTGGTTAATAACAACCGTTGATGTTTTGCGCCTGTATCAATTGATATACAGTATCTTTGGCCTTTTCTTTGTTCATGATATTTTGGCTTTTGAAGTTGCTTTCACATTTGAGATCTTATTAGCTCTCCATGTTGGTGGATGTTATGATATGAGATTACGAGTTTATAACTACTATATGACTAGCATTCATCGAAATCTTACGTTGTTCTTCCTGGAAAGTTGTTTCCCTTGCACTAATTTTATACAGTTTATCAATTTTATATTGTCGTTGCATTGTCTTTTGTTGAGATTGTTTGTAGTTGAATTACAGTGAAATGCTACCATTGGATATTGATTGTTGCTTTCATTCAATCAAGTTTAAAAAAAAAAGGAACATTGGATGTTAATTTCCTGTGTTCTTTGCTCTTTCAGACAATATACTATTCGTCACCTACATCTGCTGGTGCTGAGTGCATTGATCCTGATTGTACTTGGGTGGAACAATGGTAATGCATTTGATTCGCAAATTTTAAACTTGAGTCTATTGATTGATTAAACTGATTCCAGTCAGCTAGATGAATGTTGCAACTTAGAACATAGGTTTGAAATGCTGGACGGGAGTTGAAAGTGTTCAATAGATGACACTTAAAACTTCATCATACCAAAATGTTTCTTTGAAAGTTTATCTAAAATTAAGAGAAAATTGATGGCTTTGAGAATTCAATGTCCCTTTCTTTCAGGGTATCATAACCACGATTTTGATGGTTAAATCCATATCATTATGTCAGTTGATTACCATAATATACTCTTAACCTGTGATGATTTGTTGTATGTTTTGGCTAGAATTGTACACACTCCTCAATTGTTCAAATTTAGTATTATTTAGGGTTGTCTAGAGAGGTTAGGTACATGAATGAATATTTCTATTGGGCTCAATTAAAAACCAAATTTTCCTTAACACCGAATATCAAGGTCTTTTATGATGATTTCTTCTACTGTTTCCTTTCCTGTTTTTGGATTATCTTTAATTTGATCCACCTTTTTTCTCGTTTGAGTCTCTATTGGTCTTCTTCTTAGGAGCCAAGCTGACTTAGGCTAGTTTTCTTAATCTTGTAGATAGTTATTTCTCTAAATTTCTCTAAGATACATTCTTAAACCTATTTTTCTTGTACCTCAGGTCATTAAGCTCAGTATTTTGTCTACTTTTGATTGCACTTCATTGCCCAACATTCACTACCATAGTGTGTTACTAGCCATATAGCTATTCATTGAGTTTTCCTTTGAGTTAGTAGTTCTCCATTTCATTTTCCCATATTGAATTCCATGTATGACAACTCAATCAATCTTCGTTTTACTTAGTAATTTATTTCTGCAACTTGTTGTATGGTGTGATCTCCACTTTTTGCCTCCGAAACATTGCTGACTGGCATATACTCTGTTTTACTAAAATTCAACTTATAATCTGTTGATCCCACACAAAAGCATAGTTTACTAAAATAAAAATATCTCAATAAAGTTGTTATTGACAAGGTTGCCTAATCCTCATATTTATCTATAAAACCCTATGTTTCTTTTTTGATATGATAACAGTAAGTTGTCCTTAAAAATGCATATACAAATTTGATTGATAGGCACTTGAAATTTAATATACGACATGATAACAATTAAATAAATGTTCATGCAAAATTTGTTGGACATTAGTATGTGAAAATCACAATTTCTTTAACAATACCGACAATTACTTTTTTCCTATTTTTTTTATTTTGGATTATCAAATTGGTCTTTTTTACTTCTAGTTTCTTGTCTCAATATTTTAGTACATTTTTTGTCCCGCGTATGATGTTGTTTACGAATTTAGCTTATATACTAAGTGGTTTTGAAAATTGTTTAGGGTTCATCGAGCTGGGCCTCGGGAAAAGATATACTATAAACCAGAAGAAGTAAAGGCAGCAATTGTTACTTGTGGAGGGCTCTGCCCTGGTCTTAATGATGTTATTAGACAGGTTAGTTTGTGATTATGTTGCCTTTCACATAGTTTTGACCCTGTCGTTTTGAATATAGGAAATCCGTAAAGCAGTAATGGTTAACTGGTGCTCTCAAAGTTATGGAAGTGGAAAGTTATTAGATGAATGTAACATTTTAATTATTCCTATATATAACCAAATTATCTGGGTTATACTATTGACTAATTGCATTTACTGAACAAACAATTGAGAGTTTAGGTAAGAAAAGAGAGAAACAGGAAAGTATTTCTGCATTAAGCAAGAATAGGAAAGAAAAAAATTGTACACAAGTGTACCCATAAGAGCACTCTTCTTTTTACACTGGATATCCCAGTCGATTCTCCAAAACAAAAACTACATCCACACCTCTTCATTAAGAGGGTCATTTGTGGTAGAAAAATGAACACTGCAGCTGGCTGCCAGATACACTTGTAGGGTCTGTATGGAACATTTCATTCTATTGCCTAACATAGTCTAACTGTAACTGTCTTAAATATGTTATAAGCTTCTCCCCTCCATTGCATTTATGTATAAAATTCTAAGTAGTTTTATATCATATAATGTACATAATGTTCCTATTTCAGCAACTTAGTTCTGGTTATTTTGGTCTTTAGTAATTTTTTTTTTCTCCATGTAATGGCTTTAATAATGACTGTTCCGCAGATTGTAATCACCCTTGAAATATACGGTGTAAATAACATTGTGGGGATTCCTTTTGGCTATCGAGGATTTTCCGACAGAGAATTGACTGAATTGCGGGTAAACTCTTTTCTGATTTTGGTGTAGCAGATGATTCATCTAAAGGTACAGTCTGTAGAACATGAGCTATTCTTCCTAATGACTCTTGACTGTATGGGGCTTTGATTTGCAGTTATCAAGAAAAGTAGTGCAGAATATTCATCTTTCTGGCGGAAGCCTGTTGGGAGTTTCGCGAGGAGGACCTGGAGTCAGTGATATCGTGGACAGTCTGCAGGTGGTTGATTGATCTAATCTATTGACAAACTGATTGGCAATTTCACAGACAAGTATAAGTTTTTTATGATACAGGTGCTATTTTGTGAGCCTTATATTCTCAAATGTATATATATTATTGATTTCAGGAAAGAGGGATCAACATGCTTTTTGTATTGGGTGGAAATGGTACCCATGCTGGTGCAAATGCAATTCACCACGAGGTTGTTAATCAATAAACCTTTCATCACTTGATTTCATTCAATTTGAGTTATTTTTTTTATCTAGGTTGAGTTCCTTGTGTGGAAAACTTTTCATTGAAAATTGTGGCAAGTCAATTTTCAAATTGACTTGACTTACTATGCCATTTTTGGTTTTTGTACAGTTAAGTTTTAACATTAAGTTGGACATTAATATTCTGTTATTTGAAATGTGAATTATGTGTGATATTATTTATAGGCTGTTTAGCAAATTTTTTTATAGTGTTTTAATTTTTGGGTTTGTCATGCCAATATGTAACTGTCCTTTTATAAACTGAGATTTTTTTCTTGCAGTGCTGCAAAAGAGGGTTGAAGGTATCTGTAATTGGTGTGCCCAAAACTATTGACAATGATATATTATTGATGGATAAAACGTTTGGCTTTGATACTGCTGTTGAAGAAGCACAAAGAGCAATAAATTCTGCATACATTGAGGTATATAATTTCTTATTCCGAGTCATGTTGACTCAGTTCATCGATAGTTTCTTCTCAGTACATAAAATATTTATACATCTTCCCTTATTTTTTATTAGGCACATAGTGCATATCATGGAATTGGGGTTGTGAAATTGATGGGCCGTAGCAGTGGATTCATAGCAATGCAGGCATCCCTGTCTAGTGGACAGGTTGACATATGCTTGATTCCTGAGGTATATAAGACAAATTTGGTTTGATGGTCTCATTTTCTGTCATACTTATAAACTTATAGATGTTTTGATTTGGGTCCAAGGTACCTTTCAATTTCCATGGTCCTCATGGAGTATTGGGTCATCTCAAGTTCCTTTTAGAAACGAAGGGATCAGCTGTAGTCTGTGTTGCAGAGGGAGCTGGACAGGTGATTTATTTAATAGAATCAATGTGATATTAAAAAGACTGCCCAAAAAAATCACTGTGTTTTACGTTCATATTTAGAAACTTAAACTTGGTAATTGATTCTAATGCAGAATTTACTCCAAAAGACAAATGCTAGGGATGCATCAGGAAATGTTGTATTTGGAGATATTGGAGTATATATTCAACAAGAGGTTTGTATTATTTTTATGGGGGATACAATAATCGAGATGGGATGATACCTGATGATAGAAAAAAATATATTTTTTAATTTGTTAAACCTAGTAAACTTTGAAACAGATATGAAGAAATAACATCTAAGCTGGCTAGAATTATTATCAGGTTAATGTGACCCTAGCCTAGTGTAAGTACAATATCTAACTTTTAATTTATTCACATACTTAACCAATGGGTATTTTAAATTATCAATCCATTACCATCTTTGTGATTTTGGTGTCTGACTACTACAAAACTAAACCATATTTTGTAATATTCATATTGAATTTGAAGCCAATCTCCACTCTGTAGGAAGTAAAATCCTTGAAATTGAGGATCATGCTGTTTGTGAAAGGTGGGAGGTTTTGGGCAACATGAAAACAGAATTTCCGCAGTTTAAGCCAAGAATTATGTAAATCTGTTTATGCACATAGCAACGTGAAACTTAACATCTTTCCAGTTGTCTATGATGATGGTAGCTATTTAAGAGTGTTATTGTTTCTGAAAAATCACCTCTTTTCTCGTAAGCATAATAAATTTTAGAACAGGGAAATTTTCCCTAAGAACACATATTGTTGTCAGATTACGAGAAAGCTTTTATGTCATCCTACATCCTGTTGTCAGCTATGCTTTGGCCAAAATATAAAACTTATTTGCGACTTCATTTTGAAACGAGTAAAAGATAAAATACTTTGATTCTTTCGATATTTTAACTTTTAATGATGTGTTCTTGTAAATTTCTGATCTTTAGCTGCTTTCCTACTATTATATCTGAAATTAGTGAACTCAACTGCAATTTTTAGGAGTAATGTCGACTGTGTGTTAACATGGTTTATACTGTGTATTGTACTATGATTGTATATCAAATTGAGTAAATGTATTAAGTTCTTTTGTAATGTATAGCATAATTTAAAATTTGTATTTTACTACGTATTTTATGCTGACCACTGTTGTATTTCAGACAAAAAAATATTTTAAGGAGATTGGTGTTCATGCTGATGTAAAATATATTGATCCAACATACATGATCCGTGCAATTCGAGCTAATGCATCAGATGGAATTCTATGCACTGTACTTGGACAAAATGCTGTTAGTCACACTCTATCTCCATTTCTTTTTCAATTTCTGCCATAACTGTGATAAGTTTGAATGTATTATCATCTGCAAGCTATCTAAATTAATTGCTGCCAATCAACTTCTAGCGGCTTTCCCTTTGGTGCATATGTGCAATGTCAGTTTATTAAGTTTGTCAGATTTGTACTCATCGACATTTAGCTACCTAACATTTTACAGGTCAAGCAGTTATTAGATTATGTTATGCTTCACTCCCTCAATTTAATGTTGAGAAATTAAATGGCAATCCAAATTCCTATTTGGATTCCTTTGTTTTGAAGAACGATACAAAATCATGCAAATATTACTGAAGTTTTTTGAGCATCAGGAGTCGAAGCCAACAAAATGTGGAAAATAAATATAAGATGTATGCTGAGGACTAATCACCGTGTTTCAGATAATGCTAGTGTTAACTTAATTTGTACTATGATTTTGGCCTATTTATTTGCATGTAAATTGGCATGTTTTATATCTTCAATCTTGGTATTCTTACCCTTCCGGTACAAAAAAGTGTCAAAAACCTGTAGGGAAGTAGTGTTTCTATTTGATTTGTCCGTTCTTTGTGCCTTAAGTTATTTAATTTGATAGCTACATTAATAGTTTCTAGAGAAACCTTAATTTAGTTCTATGGTCTTTGAAACCAATGCCAACATCTTCCATTTGATGCTTTCTGTAGTTTGTGTCCAATACTTGTTACCCGTATGTGGAATTCGGAAGATATGTATTTGTGTTATTTTCTAGCTGATACTGATTGACAGCTTTTGCATTGCAGGTTCATGGTGCGTTTGCAGGATATAGTGGCATTACAGTTGGCTTATGTAACACCCACTATGCTTACTTTCCCATCCCCGAAGTGATATCTCATCCTAGGTTGGTGGACCCCAATAGTCGAATGTGGCATCGTTGCTTAACTTCAACAGGTCAACCTGACTTCATCTAATTTCCACTTTTTCCAATAAATTCAAGAGGCTTTCAAAGAGCATTTAATAGGAAGGCAACTTCAAAATATGTATGGCTAATTTGTTGAACAATAATTTTGAAAATAATACTAAGGATGACATTTCCTCCTTATTAGAGAAATTGGTTATTTGTATAGTTGGCAGTTTCAAGTCCTGCCAGTTGCATTTAAATTAAATTTTAGAGGAATCACCAAGCATTATATGCTTGATTTTGATAAATTTGTAAGTTGTAAACATTTGTCAAATCGATCTTAATTGGCAAATGCCCCACATTTAATGAGAGTACTTTGGCAGATGAACGTTTTTGTTTTTGAAATTCACTCCTTAAATATTGGATTGCATAATCCGTGGGATGAATGTGTCTACATTGTTTAAGGTTATTTGCAAAGAATATTAAGGATGTCTTTTTGGGCCCCTCATGGTTGGTGCTTTGGTGGCTACAACAGATCAGGGCTATGAAAAATGTGGTCTTTTTATTTAGTTATTTGTGCTTTTGTCAGGGCAATGAAAAATGTCGTCTTTTTTTTAGTTATTTGTGCTTCTGTTAGTTTATCGGCTTTATGCAATATCCACTCGTAAACTAGTAGTCATTATAATATTGGTGCTTTCATCCTTCCAATCATGTCTTCCATCTGCTAAGGATGCTGATGAATCTTTGTAATTGATCCATGATATGTTTTTGGCTATGCAAGCACATATGGAAAACCAGAATACCCGCCATCAAAACCTCCATTAGACCATGGATGCTCTCCTATGACTCCCTTACTTTTTCATCACAACCTCAACTAACTTGCCTCCATGATGTCTCAATCCCTCACTTCTCAGCCACTTACTAGTGGACCAAGCACCAACAATTCCACTTTGCCTGGTCTCACTACTTCTACCTCTTCACAATACACCCTAGGTATGCCATTGGCACCCAACAATCCTTTTCTAATTATCCTATTTTGATCAATATTTCCTTTATCAGATTTCATTGGATTCTAGTTTAAACTTACTATTTTTATATGAAAGAAGGAGCTCTAAGCTGGTTCTAATGGATGTATCACAATCAACAACTTATTGATTGATCATTTTTTGCTTGACTCAACAACTATGTTTTGGGCCTTTTCCTTACGCTAATCATTAGGCAGAGCTTTTAAAGTTTGTCAATAGGGATTTGTGATTGACTATCAACCATTTTTTGAGAAATTATGTAACTATGTAACGGGCCTCACATAAAAATGATTATGAACTATTTTCTCTCAAGTCTAAAATTATAGATTTGTTTAGAGTTAGTAGTTTTCCAACCTACCTCGATTTCTCAAGCCTTGAGCCTTGCCAAGTTAGTTGAGTCCAAAATCCACCACTCTGAACCATGTTCATACTCAACCCCTTTACCTCGTCCATCTTCCCACCCTTACCTTCTACCAAACTAACATTATTACCACCAACCACAGCCACTATGCACTATTACCTTTTATCCATAAAACAACTTATCTTAGTCCAACTATAGGAGTGTCGCACAACTTATTTATGTTTTCTTTTGCCACAAATGCACACCTGGTCGTTTCCTATTGTTGTAAAGGGACACTCCTTCCACTTGTCAAGAACTCACCTCACCTTTTGGTACCCCTATCATAATTGAACCTGATGACCTAATACACTTTTATCTATCACTTTGGTCACCCTTCCCCCACACACCTATAAATTTGAGGATGTTTTTGCACAATCTCCTAATCACTATCCTTGTGAACATTGGTAATTTCCACAATATGTTACAACCCAGTCTTGCTACCCACCTATAACTATTCATTATGCCCGCATCCCTTTTTTGTTTCAATCATGGTGCAAAATGGTTAAATAAATACAATGTTTTTCACGTTGCCCTAATGAGGATCCAATGTTTCTCAATCCTTTTCAGTTGCATTCTCTTTACATTCCATAGAGAACACTAATGTTGTCTTAGGAATGGAGTGGCTATGTTCTTCATGCCTTAGCAAACTTTCTATTCCTATGCTTTCTTTTACTCATCTTGGTTCGTCAATCACCTTAATAGGATTTACATCCTCTGTGCCCACCTTATCTTCTTTTCACCATATGTCTTGTTTGTTTCATACAAATGTTATAGCTTCCTTATGCCTACTCTTATTTCAAGTTATTTCCATAGAAGTTGACCCACCTAACTCTACCATCTCACCCTTACCAGGAATTCTCCCTATCATTAACAATTTCTATAAAGTTTTTCAAAACCTCATGGCATTCCCGAAATAGTCTTCATAAAAATCATATCCCACTTCTCACATAGCCTTAGTCAACATTAAGCCTTATCGCTACCTCCTTGCCCATAAAGAAACAATGACCACACTTATTGTCATCATGCTGAAGATTGAATCATATAACCCAGTCCAAGCCCTTTCTCCTTAGTAGTTATTTTAATAAAAAAGAAAAAATGGTTCTTGATGATTTTCTATGATTAGAAAGCCATAAATACAATCACAATTAACGGTCATTTTTCTATTCCCACAATTGATGAATTACAGGATAAGTTACACTCTAAATACCACTAAATCAGAGTAGTACCAGAATATTGTCACAATATTTTTTTACGCTTTTGATGGTCATTGTGAATTTCTTGTTATGCCTTTTAGTTTATATAATTCACCTTCATCATTTCAGGTTGTTATGATACTTGTTTTTTTTACAGTATCTTAATCTACAACAAGTCTTTGGTAAACCATCGCAACAAGTCTTCTCACCAGAAGAGCAAAAATGGGTCACTAAACTTTTAGGCTTTAATTTTGATATGTGCCATAACCAGGTCGTTGATGCCCTTTTTCGACCCCCTACTACATCACTACAAAAGGTGCACCATTAGTGAAAAATACACTCCTTTACTCTCTTCTCCTTACTCTTTTCGCAATGTGCTTCTTTACTATAAACAAAAGTTTTTTGTTTCTCAATCAAACCTCCACAACAAAATCATCATTTAATACCTTAACACCCTTACAGGTTAACATTCAAAAAATCCACTATCGCTCGCTTAACTACATCTTTTTACTTGCTTGGGGTATAAAGGGACATTGAATCCTTCATGTGAGCCTACCTTCCCTATAAATAAAAATAACTCAATAAAAAAAAAATATTGATCTCCTTCAACCCATACCCATTTTTCTCCAAGTTTGGGAAGAACACTACTGATTTTATAACACATCTTTTCATCACATCGTAATTTGAGTTTTCAGCGACAAGTCAACCAAATTCTCCCATTTCATTGCCTTGCGCACCTCATTCACTGCTTTTCATTTTTTTTTTTCTGTCTAGATTTGCATATTGCATGGAGTCTCAAAGTCAATCGTCTCAAATTGTGTCATCCTGTTTCTCAACAACTTGAATTTTATCCATATATTCCAAATTAAGGAATGCTCAACAATATTTAATAGCTTTTTAAAAAATAAACATGTATATACATAGTATTCTATCTAATTGTGACATCAAGCATTCAAAACAAACCATTCAGTTCAGATTAACCTGGTCCTAAGTAAAAAAAATTTGATGGTCCAATTTAACTTGTATTTTTAAATGGATAATAATTTTTTGTCGAACCCTATATTAAACTAACATACCAATTTTTCTTTGATTGAAAATTAAAAAAATTACTAACATGTTTATATAAAAATAATTAATTAAATATTTAAATAAAAATTTAAATATATTTTAAAAATTTAAATTATATAAATAAAATTAATTTTTATTTTAAATATAATGATTTAATGTATAAATGATAAAAAAGATCCATTTAATCTTAGAATTTAGAGTTAAAAAAATTACTCTTCATTATCATTATTTATTTTTTTAGTAATTTATTGATCTAGAATAATAATCTATTTTAATAATTACATCGTTAGAATAAATGAATGTTAAATTTTTTTTCTTATATTTATTTTTAGAATAAGCGAATTACTTATCAAATTAATAAAAAATATTTTTGTTATCTTATTTAAAAAAATATATTATTATTCTATTAAACAAGTCAATCCATAAGTTTATTATAACAAAAAGAAAATTATAAATATTAAAAATAAGAAATAAGTGAGACTAAATTTTGAATCTATATTTTAAATATTAATTATTTTTAGAAAAATAGATAAATATTATTTATCATTTGTAAGTAGCATGAAAATACATTAAAAAAATAAATAAAAATTTGCCAAATTGAAATATAACGGATATAATCAGGACAAACTATAAAGTCTTGTCAAAGAATGGGTTCACAAACTAGTTTATCAATAATTTTTTTAATATAATTTTTTATATGTATTTTTTAAAATATATAATATGAATAGTTTTTATTTATTAAATAGTATTTTTATTAGATAAATTAAAAAGTATATATTATATTTGTTTGTTAAATAATTAATTATAATTAATAATTTAATTGATTATTTGTATAATTTAAATTATAATATTATAATATATTTATATATTTTAACAATATAACACAAAAAATATATAATATTTGTAATTATAATTATTTTTTATTTTTATTTTAATATAAAAATATTTTTTAAAGTGGATTAGTCCATCCCGCTCCATTCTTGATTCACCAAATTAACAAGTTAGACGGAATGGGTCACAACGGACTGACAAAATAAAACCACCCATTCATTTGTTATTTTTAGGAGAAGTGATGTGTGACTTAACTTGTTTTATCATTTTATGTTATTTTAATAGAATAATTTAAAATAATAAGAAAAAGATTGAACAAATTAAGAATAAAATGAAGAAGATGAAATAATTAATAAGATGAAGTGCTACAAACTTTTCAAATACTAATCTGATTATGAAAATAATGGAGGAAAGATGAATGAAATAATTTGTATGTAAAAATTTTCAGTTTTAAAATATTATCAATTTTACAATGAATGAAAATAAAAAAACACAAATTTATCCTTGTTTTGATTATTTTAATAAAGAAAAATAAAAGTAAAAAGTGAAATAGCTTCTAACACTTCACAATTTTGTTAGTTTTTAAAAAATATAAAATCACAACATTTTTAAAAAACTATAAAACAAATTTTCCAATTTTTAAAAACTAAACACTATAAAAATGATTTTTAAAAATAGTAAATAAACAAGCCTAAGACTTTCCCTTCCCTCTTTATTATATTCTTAATCCCAATGTGTGCTATGTAAGCAGTTCAAACCTATCAGCCGCAAAGAAAAACAATAATTAGGCTGCAGTTTTTTTTTTTTTCCTTTAAATATTGGAGCGAGTTACGACTGTTCATTATGCCATAAACTCAAATTAAATCCAAATTTCCATCTAATCTATGGGATCATGTATCAGAGGTTTGATTTTCAACCCTATATAACCATCAATTATATAATATAATTTTAATTTATTATATATATAATAAAGATTGAGGAAATATCTTATCTATTAAACATTGTTTTTTTATCCTAAGCTTTTCATTCCAACATTTCTTAAATTATCTTTACCGGAGAATCCCTTGGTATATTCTTAAATTACTTTTTTCAAATCATATGCGTTTCAAGGAAATTGTTTTTCTAAATATTTATTCATGGATAAAAAATTCCTTCCAAAATTATTTTTCAAAAGTATATATTTTTGAAGAAAAAAATGGAAACGGAAAAGTACGTATTGCATTTCAGAAAAGAAAATTAAATCATAGAGTAACATAAAGAAACTATATTTAAAATAAATAAATAATATAAATGTGAATATAAATTTACATTATATAAAATATTAATGATGAAGTCAAATAATTATATTATTTATACATTATTTAAAAAAATAATTTTAGAAAAAAATATACAAAACATTATTAAAACAAACTAAAACGTTATTACGAATAATTTAATTTAGACTTTAAAAAAGCTTCAATGTATTTATACCAACACAGGAGCTTAGTGAGTGTCACATCACAGTACACAGAAGTACACGACTGAGTTGGGACACCACGCAACTGACATATCCAAAAGCCTCTCCCAATTATTCACAATTTCATGCATTAATACATAGTCTTAGGGTTTCAACAACAATAATAAATATGTACTCTCTGTATTGTATGGTTAGGTATATTAATCTAATTGAACATGCTAAGCTGTTTCTATTAAGATAATGTAGATTTTTTAATATGATGCCCCTATTATTAAACAGTTTTTTCTTCTTTTCATGACTGCAGTTTTAATCATTAACTTTATATGCAAGTTTGCTTCATTGAAAGGGAATAAAAATGTTGTCTTTTGTGTCAGAATAAAAATGTTTTTTATATCAAAATAAAACATTTTCATAAGTATTAAATGTCCCTGCAGTAAGGGAAAATAAATATACTATTTATAAGACAATTAAATATAACCATGCACATTTTTATGTATATGGTAAAAAGTTATCTTAGATCTTGTCTAATAAACTTTCATAAATATTCATAAAGTAAAATATAATATGAAGATAAAATACGTGAACTTTTATATAAGTTGAAATCAATGCACTTTAAACTTGAATAAAAAATAGTTTTATAAAAGTAAATTTATAAATTAATTTTGTTATATTATAAATTTAGTTATTTTCTTCTCATGTAATACCTCTCAAAATTAAAATAATTGTGGATTTTCTTCTAATCATAATAATGTACGATAAGACGTAGAACGCCAAGTCACTTCAAAAAATAACAATTGTGTTGATTATGCAATTTATAACATTGTATGTCTATTCACTTCATACTACAGTCAAAGACTCTCAAATCAATACATTTAATATTGGTTTGAATAAATTTCTTCATTAAAAATTTTAGAAGTTAAAATAAACTTATGTATAAGTTAAAAAAAAAAATCAAAGAAATTATATATATAATTTTTAAAAAATTAATTAATATGCACATTAATTTTAATCAATACAAAATATTTGTTTTTTTCTCTATAAATTTCTTATACGTTAAAAATACTTGTAGACAAAAGAAAATCATATAATTAAGCAAAATATTAAACATGGATAATTAGGTTTAAAAAAATTTAAATGTATATTTGATTCTTATGATGACAATACTATTACAAAATAATCATGTAATCTAACAAAAAACTAAATACAAATATCTCTAAACTAATAAGAATAGAGAATCCATCCACAATTCATTTTTTTTTTCACAAATATACAATTTGGCAAATCAAATGATACAGATACCTATTTATACCAGGTGATTATATCGAAAATATGATTAGATACAATATAGTAAGATTCATCCTATAACAAAAGTTATAAAGAAAAATAATTAAATAAAAAAAATAAAAGAAAATATATTGATTAGAATAACTAAGAGCTTATATATTTTAACCATCAGTCACTATCCTCTCCCAAAATAAATAAATAAATTAATTTAAATAGATTGAACTTTAACTTTATTATTATTATTATTATATATATATATATATATATATATATATATAATCATTGAGTTTTATAAATTAAAAAATATAATTAAGAAAAATCATTAAAAAATAATCAACTATGCACTGGCATTAAAATATATGTATAATTTTTAGTTATAAATTGTCATATATTAATAAATATATTAATTTTATAACAATTATTTTATAAAATTATGTTAATAATAATAATAATAATATTTTTTTTATTAAATAATAGTGTAAAATGTACATATCCGTCCAACTTAAATTTATTTTTTATTTCACTGAATTTTATTTTTTTGTCATTTATTTATTTATTTATAGTTAAGGTGTGTTGACAAGAAGAAAAGAAAAATAAATAAAATAATATGTTTAATTATTTGAAGAGAAAATGATATAAAATTTTTATTTTAAAATATAATAATTAAATAATTAAATTATATTTACATAATTAAAAAATTATTCATATAATTATTAATTATTTTATATAAATGAAATATTTTTTTAAATAACATACTCAAAGATCTATTTTTTAAAATAGTATATACTTTAACATATATAATTATAATGATTTTTATTATAAATTTATTTTTCTAAAAAATTAATTTAAATTAATAAATAATATTACATTAAAAAAATATGAAATATATTATTCATTTAATTTTTATATTCATTTTATTGTACTAAAATAACATTATTAAAAATTAATATGCATATATAATTTTACATTATAAATAAATTATTCATTGAGAAAAATATAATTTTATAAAATAATATTCTTTTTATATTTATATTTTATTTTTTAAAAATATATCTAAAAAAAAGATTAAGATAAAAATATATATCTTTCTTTGTCACTTTTTATTATTAAACTAAGATAAATATTTTTTTATCTTAATTATTTTTCTCACTTTTCATTCAATCTTATGTTATATATAACTACGATATTTACAACGAATGAACCAGTAATAATTATTGTTATTTGTAAATAGAGAGAAGAATACGAGATAATTTATCATGAATAGTATATAGGGTTAAATTAAATGTCTAACTTAATTTATTCTTACTAGGTCATATATTTTTAAAATATTTTTTATTAACATTTTTAATTTAAAAATATTTTTAGACTTTTAAAATATTTTTAAAAATAAATTATATTATTACATATTTAAAAATACATATTTTTTTATAAAATAATGAAAAAAGTTTATTTATTTATTATTATTATTATTATCCTAAATCTCAAGTTTAACTTACTGAATTTGAACATATTGAATAATTTAAAAGCCAATTCTAATTATATCTATTTAGATTAGATATAAATTGTTGTGCTATGTTACACAGTTATCATAAATAAATATATCAAATATTTATAAACTTAAAATTAAATTATTTTAATGTAAAATTCATATTAATATTAAATATTATATATATGTATACATATTATCATTAAATAATTATGTATTATATATAAAATAGGTAAATATCTGACTTTTACCATAATTTTTAAAATTCTTAAATATGATTTTTTTAGTTAAAAGTGTCTTTTAACTCTTATAGGAAGGTTGGTTGACCCATCTTCGGTGATAGCCATCACTGAGATTGAACACTAGACATTTACCATGGACGACTTATAGTATATTTTTTGACACTGAAGTTTATACCTTTTTTTACTGGTCAATAACTGAAACAAAATCTACTGGACCTACCTCCTCGGTGTACCGGTCTGTCTCCAATCCCGATATCCAACAAAAACAAATCTTGGTCGCAAATACTGACAATCCAGACAACCCGAAGCAACTGTCAAAACCGCATTCACTGTGTTACCCTAAACTAAATTGCAACATGTACACGCCCGAATCTACTGTCGAAACCGCATTCATTGGTGTTACCTTAAACTAAATTGCAACAATATACACGCCCAATCAACCCCGAACAACAAAACTACGACACGTGGGGTATTTTTGTTGTAATTCCCGTACAAAAGAATGAATTACATTAAATATTAAAAAGACAGTGTTTTTATTTAAGTTTTCGTTGATATTACATCAAAATTCTATTAAAGATTAACAATATTACATTTGTTAATATCGGTAACTTTTTCATACAAAATAATAAAGCAAGATTTTTTCTCAAAAAATATGTAAATAGCACAAAATAAATAAAATAATAATTTATATTTCATTCTCTTAGCCGATAAATGAAAAGTTTAGACATTCAAAAAGAAAAAGAAAACTACCACTCAAGTACTAAACTTTGTTGACATGTTTTGCCTAACAACGACACACTGTTTCATCAAAGTTTCCTGTCATCCACGTCTATGCAGCAATAACAACTGTTTATATAGCTTAATCAACCGGCTAGCACAGCGTACTTTTCATGCCCTAATCATGAAATTACTTAAATTTGTCTTATTCATCCAAAAGGAACTCTCATTGAGTGTGTTACCAAACTGCCTACAAGACCACATTAAACTCTGTTGAACCAAATCAAAGGAACTTTGCTGAAGGGGATAAATTGAAATTTCATCACTTGAAAGTCCCATCAAGAGGGTCAGAAGATTTCATCCTCTTAGAATTTGGAATATTAAAGGAAGAATCCGTAGATAATCCAAATGTTAATTCATCACTTATACAAATCAAGCATGCAGCATCCAGTACCCCGATAGGGCTTTGGGGTACCAACAGTGCAAAGTTGTTGTCCAAATCAGTGGAAGATTGAATCAAGGGCAAATCTCTAATCAATTCAAGACACTTCAAAATTCTTTCCTGCAAAATAAAACCTCATAACTCAGTAGAAAAACAATTTGCAAATGAAGATGATAGATATGAAACACCAATGATTGTTGTGTGGGAAGTGGGAATCACCATGTTACCTTTTCTACAATGACAAAACATGTTAAGGCTTCATCAATCTCTTCAGCTTGCAATTTCTTTGACACAGAAATTGCCACTGCTGCGGCAATTTCAGAAGGCTTGAATTCCAAGAAATTGACACCTGTATAATTAATTTTTCCCAACAATAACCACATTGTTCCTCAAGAGCATAGAATAAACTAACAGATTGAAGAGAATATATACATCTAATTGTGTCAAGGATGAGCCCAACTGATCTCAAAATGAATGACTTTGCCAGAAGTTGGTCACAAGTGATTTTCTCGAGGAAGTAGTCTATGAAGGAAAACGGAGTTAAAGCTTGCATTTTCCATTTCAATGTGGTTAATATCAGTAGCTCCATTGATTTAATGGCTGTAGCTTCAAATACAAACTTAGGTTCTCCAACCTACCAGTTACAAACAAAAGTGATAAAATCAGATAAAAATGTACATAACAGAAGTATATTTTACTATCTTTGTATAAGATTCTACTATACCTGGATATCTACAGAAGAAAGCACTTTAGTCTCATCCATTTTAGTAGCAATCGACAAACATGCTACAGCTAACAGTTGTGCACTCCAACAACTGCTGTCTCTCTGAACAACCAAGAGAATAGGCCAGCAAAGTGAATTTAGCTTGTCAAAAAAGATGAGAAAACATAAACTCAACATAACACTAATATGATTTTAGCATTTGATCTCACTTTTAATTCATATATCGATAGGAACCGATCCAAGTAGTTCATAGACAGATATATGCTGCAGGGTCCAAAACCATATTGTGCATGAGCCTGTTGATCACATCAGACAAAGAACAGAGTTATCAATCTAAATAGTTCACATATAGAAATAAGCAACACAGTTCAAAACCATAGCATGCATGAGCCCGTTGATCACATTGCAGAAAGTAAAATTTACTATTTGGAGTTACCAATCTAAAACCAAATCACACAGCATTAACTAGAAATAATGAGCCCAAAATGACCACAATTCCAATAGAATAAGAAGAACAGAGATGCAAATATAAGGATCAAATGAATTTGGCCTTGCAAAACCAGTTTAGGGATTAACAGTGGTACATACTACCCACTTCGAAAATGACTAAATTTATGAAAATAAATAACAGTCTACTACAAGAGCCAATTGATATCCATTAATATAGCCATAAATTGTAAAGAAATATATACTTGAATGGAAAAGTTAATCTTTTAGATGCTGAAACCCCATTAAATATACTTGAACCACCAAAAAGTTAACCAAAAAAAAAAAAATTAGAGGGGATTCAGTTTTCCCTTTCATTGAATGAAAAGAAAAGGGGGCTAGGTTGAAAGTGAAACAAAAAGAAATCAAGAACCCCCACTTAGAGAAAACCAATGAATCCCCATTTAGAGGAAACCAATGAACCCACCTTCCAAATCCAATCAAGAGCCTCCTTCCTAACACTCAAGTCAAAGTCCCCACCAAGCAGCCTCTTGAGGTAATCAGCCCGGGGCAAATGTTCACTCTCCTTCCCAACCAAATCCAGAACAATTTCACCACTCAGTACTGGACAATCCAATACAAGTTCCGATCCAAGATTATACTCAATCAGACATTGATTGTTAAAGTTAAGATTTTTGTGGTCCCAGGGAGGAGACTCATCTGCAACATTACATTCAAAATCATCAAAGCACATGTCATTGCTTTCCATACACAGAAGGCTTGAGGTTGCAGGGTCAATGTTCTCCATTGATAGACCTCAAAATGGTATAGAAAAACTGGTTTTTCAATAGCTGGATTAAATGAAGAGAACTTTACGCAGCATTTTCTGCATAAGAGTGAATAATGGGTAGGACAAAATAGTGTAGACACTCAGAGGATTGAGAGTAATGTAGAGTGGAGGATGTAAGAAGAGGGTGGGGAAAGGGACAACGTTTATGTAGGAAACTCGGCATGTGGCTTAGGTTAAAGACTTCGAAGGGTATGAGAGAGTAATATTTGTGAAGCCGCCAGAATCGCTTGGTCCATCAATACGTGTAATTGTGGGTCTTGTCTGGTCAAGTAAAACAAAATAAAAAAGTAAAACAAAATAAATAAGTAAACAATATCAAAATCTTAAAAGATTGCCAAAATTGTTTGCGTTTCCACTTTTATAATATGAAAGAAGGGTTTCCCTCTTGTGTAAAAAAAAAAACACAATTATTTTCTATATTTATCTGGTTGTTGTTTTTGACTGAATAATTTGGCTAAACGGATTATGAGTATGTTGAATAGAAGTACTTCAAATTATTAATTTTATTATTCTTAAATGAAGTATTGATTTAAATTTTGTAGAATGATGAGTAGTTATTAATTTGGATTATACTTCTCTATACTTTATTGTTTTGACCCTACATGTAAAAATGATAAGTTTTAATAACGAATTCATTGTGTTTGGATTCCTAAGTTTTTGTCTTTTTAACTTGATAACTTTGACCAGGGTAAACAACATCACTACAAAAAAATAATTATTAAATTTTATAAATATTTTCATTAACGGTTCATATTTAGGTTTATTACCACTATTTCTTTATCCATATTAATCTAATGCAACTATTGATAAATATTTAATTTCTGGCGTTTAAAAAAAATGATAAAATGGGTTATGCTCAACCTAGTCCAACAAAAGATCACACTAGAATAGTTGATTTCTAAGTCACTAAAATGTCTTGTTCTACCTTGTCAACCCTTTGGCTCACGACGGATTAATTCATTGATCCATCATTTTTATTTTAAAACAAATAGAAACTTTATTAATTGTTCAGCGTTAATAATTTTAGTTAAGAAATGTTCATAAAATAAATGTATATGATTTTTGTGTGCAAGTTTCCGTACAAATTCTCATTGAATTTTAGGTTGGAATGTAAATCAAGAGTGTAAAATTAGATTAAAAGTAAGAAAACAAAAAAAAAAAATTTATTTGAGACTCTTACACCTTTCATATTGGTTTTTAAGTGTGATCTACACTTTTTGATTAAATATAATTATTCATATTAATCATTTCTTAAGTACCCTTTATATATGTATTAATTTAAATCTCATCTAGTAAAATATTTTTATTTTTTTATTTTATTTTTTTCACCATTGTGGTCACTATTTAGACATCTTTATAGCGACAATTTCTCTTAAAGACTAGAAATGTGGGTGTATGACGCAACACAATTTATACTTGGATAATAACTCACTTTTGTCTCTATTGTACAAATGTTTAAAGATTAAGTTGATGTTTTCATTTTTCGTAACTTCTGGCAGAAACTAGTAGAAAAGATATGATATTACAACGAACTATAATGAGCAATATGCTCATCAAACACTTTAGGCAACAAAATAAACCTTTAGTAAGTGAGATTAACTAACCCTTATGAAAAAATCATAAAATAAGTACATGTCATTAATGCTATCATAAATATGCATTAATAGTGAAAAATAAAATTTTACTAATAGTTAACTTATTTCTAAGGACAAAAAAATATTTTTATAAACAAATAAAATCATTGCTTACTTTGCAATATACCTGCAAGTTAATACAATAATGCTTTGCATTATCCTTTTGCAAAATATAGTTAACATTACATAATATAAAACTTCAAATTCCTAAACTCTAAAAAACCAAAACTATAAAGAGAAATTAACACAGACAAAAAAAAAACTGAAAAGTAATAAAAAAGTTACCTCAACAAAATACAATAACATTTTATCTGTTCAAAGCATAAAGGAACGTAATTCCTAAACAATTGTAAATATTTTTCCCAAACTAATATTAGGATTCATATAATAAAAATGATTCAAACATTATTGAATCTAACAACTTAAAATTCCAATAATCTAATAATGACGGAAGTTTTAACATCACTTATAAGAATTTTAGTTTTTTTATACCACTTATTAGATATTTTGATTTAACATTAAAAAAATATGAAATGAACACTAAAACATATTACTCTAAATTATCAAGATAAGTGTTTAAAGAATACCTATAGATTTATAAAGCACATTCATCGTATCAATGGAACAAAATCTATAATGATAACGAACAATTAGTTTTATGATGTTTCTTAACTAAATTGTCTTACCATGATCAGTTCATTATTGTTGTGAGGTGTTCTAGAATTTGTTATAATATTTGAGTATTTTCAGTCTGATATTTATAAATTTTCCCTATATATAAACAAAGGATCAATTATTCTTTTAGAAAAAAATGAATATAAAGTGAAAGAGTCACGTATTTTCATACTACGTTTTCTCCAATTGAAATCGGCTTCTTTTTGTGGAATAGTGTTCTTTAAATAGTTTCTGACCGTTTTTGGAAAAAGTTCTTAACTTGTCAATTTCTCAATCAATACATAGGGTTTCATAATTTCTTTTTCGATTTTTGTATTGTCCATATCTCATTACTTCAATCTTCTGGTCAATAGACAATTGTCACCTTTTTCGAGTAACCCTTCTTAAGGACGTTTTCATCGATTTGTACACCTTATTTTTTCAAAATCCTTGATGCACACCTCTGCTTAACTTCCACTGCGTATTTTATGGAGCAAATTTTATCAGTAACACAGTGAAAGCAAAATATACATAGATGAAAGTTCCCCATACTCAATGTTTAAAACAAAAACGAGTGAATAAAAGAAAATATATATGTTCACTTTATCACGAAAACATTACCATGGTTCGAGACTCAACATGTTCCCATTGACAATGAAGAGGCAGAGAGTGAAACAATAAATGATAATCAATGAAGCACACGATTCAATAAATCTGTACATGTCAGTTTCTATAAAACCAGCTTTATTCATAACCAATACCATACATACATTAGCTTTCACAAAATCAATGACTACATTTATCAACTGAACTATTCCAACGGTAATATTTTTGCGCTGCTTCTATTTAGGATGGTGATATATAAATATATCCTTTTTAATAACTCATTTATAAAGAAGATGATTTAATAGCTCATCTAGGTTTTTATAATTAAAGAAAATTTCTTATGTCAACAACTTCTTATAATTAAATAATATTTTCATCAATAAACAACTTATAAAAAAATTTCTATTGAAAATGCTATATAACAATGGAACTCTTTAATAAGCATAGACAAATGGTTAGTCGTCTGGTTCATAGTTAACAAACGGTAAAAAGAAAAACAGTCTACTGCTTTTGCAGCAGTTCTGAACTTCTGATTTTCAGAGCCTAGTTTGCATGCGGAAGACTAGAAAACCTGCAATTAAAAGCAAAAACATAAAAAAAAAAAAAACTAAAGAGAATGAACGTTTCAATAAAACTAGTTGTATAAGTTCCAACATACATGAACGGAAGATACTTTATCTTTCCATGCACTCTCAGAGGGAACTCTTGATATGGTCATATACATGGGGAGACTTTAATAGCCCCAATCACGTGCATTATTATTAATTTTGATGAGTCCCTTTTGGTTGGTAGAGACATGTGACCGCACTAATATGCATGAATTATAAACATAAATATGTGCCTTATTTGATGTGTTGAGCTTAAGCACGGGGTCCAAAAGTAGCCTTTTTACAGTATAAATTTACTCAATCCAAAAGTAGATCCAATAAGTTGAGAGAGGTTGGTAGCTAGGTAGCTAGCTACTAGGTTTACACAAATGAATGCCTTGATGGAGGTTGGTTCTGAGAGTAGCCAGAGCATATGCCATCATAGCTCCTGCAATTTCATAAGCACAGATTTGGAAAAAACAGAATCTGTGTCTGTGCAGAGCAATGGTGCCTGCCTCCATTCTCCTCCTTGTGCCTTCCCACTGGAACTTCATAATGTTGCAAATTAGTAATTCAAGCGACTAAACCATAGATTCTGATTTAATGTTTTGGAACTTCATAATTTTATGCCATTTTTACCTACTACTGCTTCAACTTTTCTTCAGACACAACTGCAAAACGCTTCCCTCCCGTCGCTCTTTCTTCTTTGTCTTTGTTAACTATTATACATTAAAAAAGTAAATATTTTATTATCCATAAATCTTAATTAATATTTTCTTATTAATTTATACTTCTACACTATTATTAAAGGGATTGGATTGAGTAGGGGTTTTTTTGGATGTACATAATTATTTTTCAGTCTACTTCTTCATATTATATAATTATTTTTTAACTCTTTTTATTTTAAGGTATAATTTTATTTTTAATGTTTTAGTAATGGTAAGAGAAGTTTATTTCGACGAATTATTTTGCATTATGAGAATATCTACATCAGAATGATTTTAGAAGAAAATTTTAACAAGTTATAACTAGAATCATTTTTGCCATCAGAAAATTAGATGAATGTATGAAAGAGTTTAAATAGATTTAGAATTTTAATTATAATTTTGTAATGGGAAATATTTTAGTTATTGATGTCTATAATTTTCTCAATTTATCCATGTAGATTATGATGTCGTGATTTATTCTTAGATTTACTTATTTTATTCTACATTTTTTTGTTATTTTTTATTTTATAAAAATTATAAAAAAAATTGAAATATTAATTCGTGATGGATTGTTTATTAAGATCAAAGTCATTGACTTTGTTACCTTGATACGTGATATAATACTAATTTACTTAATTTCATATTTATTAATAAGGAATAATTGGTAGTTACAATTATCTCAATTTTAGATTAGATTTTTCTTAGTAGAAAATAATTAGCTTCATGCATTTTATGACAAAATGTGTAACAAAGATAATGGATGGAGTTTA